GGATGAAGGGCACAATGAGCTAAGGAACAGATGAAGGTAATCAAGGTAATCTGATGAATATTGCTTGAAGATAAATTATTAAAATGTGGAAGCTTAATAGGTTTTAAAATAATGCATTAATATATTGACGTGTCCTGTTGACAAATTGTTCCTATGATAAAGCTGTGGTCAAGTGTCCAGTGACCAAATGATCAGACCTTAGAGTGACAACATGTAATACATTGAACAGGAGCCCAAGAATATGTACACACACACACACACACACACACATGTCTATAATCTCTTCCACGCCTTACGGGATGCCTGAAACCCTGTTCTTAGAACTTCTTTCCCACAACTTTAGGTGTTTATTAAAATAAAATGCAAGTGCTTCCAGCAATAAAACACTTTGTCACCTTTCGCCTTTAATCCCAGCACTCAGGAAGCAGAAGACTGAGTTTGAAGCCACCCTATTCTACATAGTGATTTCAGGCCAGCTGGGGCCACATAGTGAGACCCCACCTCAAAGAGAGGAGGAAGGTGTTTGGAGGGACGGCTCAGCATTTAAGAGCATTTGCTGCTCTTCTAGAGGATGTGGATTCGATCCCCAGCTCTCACGTGGAGTTATGCAACTCCAGTCCAACGCCCTAGAGAATCCAACACCCCCTTCTGAACTCCAGAGGGCACTGCTGTACGCATGCTCACAGATATACATGCAAGCAAAACAGCCATGCGCATAAAAGAAAGAATGAAAATAAGCTAAGCCACACCTAGACTCTAGGATCGCCTGCAGAATGCCTGTGATTGAAGACTCAGGCCTGGGCAGCCCAAATGTAGGGGTGCTCCTGGGTCACACTCTGGCCACAGGAACGGTCCTTACAAAGGAAAGAGTGAATGTGCGTGAAGCCCAAGGCTTGCCAAGGCACTGGAAAGCACAGCAGCTTCATTTAGTGGTTTGAGGAGGCATGATGCCAGCAGAGAAAGATGACAAGGGACTTGGGACTCGCTGATTTTCATACCATTTGGCTACTGGCATCTCATGGGAACTCACATCCTGAATTTAAAGTAATTTCCCTGGCAGTTGGCATAGGGCCACATGTCTGTCATCCCAGCCCTGGGAGGTAGAGGTAGAGGATAAGGAATTCAAGGTCATTTACAGTGACTTAGAGATCAGCCTGGTCTATATCGAAAAACTGTCTCAAAAACTACATACATGTGCACACACACACACACACACACACACATACACACACACACATCCCCCACCCCCAGACATGGTTTCTCTGTGTAGCCCTGGCTGTCCTGAAACTCACTCTGTAGACCAGGCTGGCCTCACACTCAAAGATCTGCCTGCCCCTGCCTCCTGAGCGCTGGGATTCAAGGCATGCACCACCACTGCTCAGTTTTTAAACTTCCATCTGACAGTGGCTGAGAGAGTGGTGGGACAGTAAACAGCAGACACGTGCATTTATCCCTCTTCCCGAAATACAACATTTCAGAATTATTAATAAAGTTATTAATAATGATATATCATTATTGAAATAATAATGAGGTTACTAATCTCACCACCCATCCACCCAGATCTCCTAGAAACCCAGTCAGGACATTTATCCTGACTCCATCCTCATCACCCCCACACCATGGTTCAAATCCAGCCTCCTCCTTCTGCCCACCCCCACCCACCCCCTGCCTATTTCTTCCCATCCTGTTAGCTCGGTTCAGCTCATGAATCTCATTCTCACCTGACGGACCTCAACATCCTCCTGTGAGGTCTCTCTGACTTTGGATTCTCCCCAAAGCAATCAGAGCCATCGCTCCCAGTCTCAGAACAGACACAACCCATTTACTTTAAACCTCCCAGTTGCTCCTCTTTGCTCTTCAGATCCAGCTCATCCCTTTCCCCCTCCCTCTTTCTTTTTCTTTCTTCTTTCTTCTTTGTCCTTCCTTCCTTCCTTCCTTCCTTCCTTCCTTCCTTCCTTCCTTCCTTCCTTCCTTCCTTCCCTTTCCTTTCCCCTTCCTGTCTCTTCTCTCTTCACACCTTCACTCTTCCACCCCCACTTCTGTCTCTCACTTCTGATCTTCCCTCTTCTCTAGCTATGCTAACTAGGTTCAATTCCAAAAACAAAGCAAAACAAACAAATTTTCCTTCCCAGCACAGGGTCCTTGCTCATTGTCCTCTCTGACCAGGCTGCCTTTTTCAATTTTGTCAACTCTTAAGATCTCTAGCACATCCTACAATTAGAGCTCTTACTCTTTTTCTGAGAAGCCTTATGTGCACACATGGGTACTTGATGGCATCTACCCTGTTGCCTTGACCATAAGCTCCTGGAAGGCAAGGAGATGAAGCTTTATTATATAAATGCAGGTTTGTTGGAAGCATCGAGGGAAGGGGAGGGGAGGGGAAGGGAAGAGAGAGAGGGCAGGAAGGTGGGGGAAGGAGGAAAGGGCAAAAAGGGGGCCAAGGCACTAAGATGTCTGGATCATATAGTGAAGGGCCTCTGGGAGAGAAGCCCTGCCCCTAGGTAGAGGGCAGGGTATGGCAGCCACACCCTGCAGCAGGTAATGACTTTAACACCAAGAGCCTCCCAACTCCTGGCTTTGCCAGCCTCTGACTCAGCATGGCTCTCTCCCATGGCATTCACTGTGGTACCAAGACAATCTGCCCCACCGCTTCTGTGTGGGCAAGAACCCCACTTTTTGTTCTTTTTCTGTACACCCAGGGCCTGACTGACCCGTGGGAGGTTACAGTGGTGAATGAATGAATGAATGAATGAATGAATGAATGAATGACTAACTCAGTTTTCTGGGCTCAAGTTTCATTCCCGTAAACATCATGGCGGAACCTGATGGTTCTCTGTCTGTATTTCCTCCAACATGCTGGCTCCATTAACCGCAGAGCCTTCCCCAGTCAGCACCCCTTTGCTTTGTTACTCTGTACTTTTGACTATGGGCCTGGCAATCAGCAAAGCTCTCTGCATACAGGTTCCCTATTCTGTTATGCAAAGAGGGCCTCACATCCCTGGGCTTTCTGTAGATTATGCAAAAAAGAAAAAAATCTCCTTCCTCTTCAGCACTTGTGTTTTAGTTACTTTTTTGTTTGGTTTGGTTTTGGTTTTTCAAGACAGGGTTTCTCTGTGTAGCCCTGGCTGTCCTAGACTCCCTTGGTAGACCTGGCTGGCCTAGAACTCACAGAAATGCCTCCTGCCTCTGTCTCCCTGAGGGCTGGGATTAAAGGCGCATGTTCCTCCAATTAGACGTCTAGCATGTCTCATTTCATGAAGGGACATTTTTGTTTTTTATTCATTAAGAAGCATTTAACCTATATTAAACTTTGAGGCCACCTAAGGTAGGACTCCTCTGGGAAACTAGGCAAGAAGTCAGTCCCTAGTCCTCATGGAGCTAGACATGGAGCTGAGTTGGGGTTTGAAGATGGATGGGATAGGATCCAGAAACTTAAAGGACTTTCAGAAGTAAGGGACTTAAAGTCAGTGAACCTTTACAAGTGAATGTGACAGGAATTACCATCAAGATGCACAAGCAGGGTGGGTCCGACTCTATAAAGCCCACCAGGGTGTGGGAGGCATCCTCATGGGGCAACTCCTGCCCTGCATTATAAAGCATGGTGTGTGCAAGGCATAACTGGGTCCATACTGCTGGTGGGAGCTGCAAGTGGGTCCATGTGTCTGGAGCAAAAGTGAGGAGTGGGCAGTGGTGGGCAGCATGTCCCAAATGATGTCAGAGAGGCCTTGTGCGGTGGGCTGGGGAGTGTATCAGGTGGCCACTGGAAAACTTGAGGTTGGGGAGTGACGGGAAAGAGCCTAAGAAAATCCCATCAAGTGGCCTGGCGGTAAGCTGGAAGAACTAAGAACAATGAGAAGAGGGTGACAGGCCAAGAGAGGCCAAACCAAGATGGCAGCAATGGGAAAGGAGACGAGGGGACCAGCGGGGCATTGACAGTGATTGGGAGAGAGTTCTGGACAGTTCTCAGGCTCTGGGTTTCCTGAAGGGTGGACCTTGGAATGGCTCAGAAGGTGGAGGAAAGGGAACTGAGTTATAAATGGAAGAGATAAAACCTTAAAGATTAACAGGCTATGGGCAGATGGCAATAGTGGAGAATTCCCTCTTCATTGGACTAGGGAAAGGGAATGGGGGGAAGAGGAAGAGAGGGTGGGACCAGGGGGGTGTTGGGGGAGGGGGCTTCAATTGGGATATATAATGAATAAATTATAATGGCATTTGATTTCCTCTTCTGGTATGCATGACAACAATACATACAATTAATAAATAAATCTTTTAAAAAAAAAGAACTTATAAGTATGAAGATACTAGATGCAAAAATGGTCAGAAACCAGAAACTAGTTAAATAAGATTCAGGAGTGGATAATGGGACATCTGACGCCACAACCAGTATTGCTGAGGAGGCAGCTTGATACATCTTTTGGAGAATACACCATAGCCAGGGAGGCATTCCTCTCTGCTCTGGCCAGGGTTTGGAGTCTCAAGTGTCCATCTTAACGCTAACTCAGAGCTGACCACACCCTAGGCACCTCCTAAGGGTCTCTGTGAAATAACTCTATTAAATTTGATTCAACTTAACTGATTTATTATTTATTTATGTAGTTTATTGTATGTACGTTTATGTGCATGCATATGTGTGTTCGTAGGTGTGTGCAAATGTGTGTTTATGCGTGTGAACGTCAGAGGTTGAGGTCTCGTGTCTTCTTCAATTGCTCTCCACCCTAGTTTTGGAGACAAGGTCTCTCACTGAACCTGATTCAGCAAGACTAGCTAAGAGTCAAGCCCCAGGAATCCTAATGTCACCACTTTCCCAGTGCTGTGACTACAGGCACATGCTGCCTATGCCCAGACTCTCACTTGTGTTTGGGGATCCAAATTCATATCCTCACCAGGCACACTCCGTTAAGCCAAGCACATGGGAGGCAGAGGCAGGTAGATCTCTTCGAGTTTGAGATCAGCCTGATGGGAGGTTGACATTTTTTCACTTCAATTTTTGTGCTTACTGTGTCAAGCTGCTCTTCACCACCAGGGGGGAAACTTTGCTGGTATCCTTCAGGGGCCAGGCTGGATGGAGTTCACAGTTCCAGAGATTCCTTCATTCCCTGGCGATTGGGCTCAATCCCAAACCAGAGCCCTCTATCGGAAAGAAATCCCTCAGGTGTGTAGACCCATGTTCCACAATGTGTGCCTGCAGATACCTGTAGATGGGACACATAGGTAGAGAGAACACATAGGAAGCTACTCAAGACATGTCTTTACGATAGATGACTAAAGAACCTCTCTGTGTAATATCCACCTAAAAGTTATAGAGCCATCTGGCCCCTGGTGGAACTCAACCAGCAACAGTCACTAGCGACAGCCTCAACACCACTGTTTGTTCGTGGAGACAGGATTTCCCTGTGGAGTCCTGGACTTGATCTGTAGACCAGTCTGGCCTGGGACTCCCAGAGATCTGCCTGCCTCTGCCTCCAGAGTGCTGGAATCACGGGCATGCACCATCATGCCTGAGCGAATCAAGAGTGATCAATGTTCATTTGTTAGATGTGGAGGAATTAAGCCCTTCTTCCAAGATCCCAGAGAAGAGTAGAACTTCTAAGCAGATCCACTCCGGAGCACACAGCAAACCAGACCCATTCCACAACAAAAACAAGCGCAAATCTCAGGTTAGACCCTGGAATTTGCCACTAGAACACTGTTCTGAGAGCATGACCAAGCCACATGGGGCAGGATTCTGCCTCATGGTTGTCTGTTCTGATGCTGATTAGCAAGGGAATCTGAAGAACAAGTTACACCCACACAGACTCGAGCACACACACACTCACACACAGAGATACACACCCCCACACTCACACACATGTACACACACAGATATATGCACACAGACACAGCACACCACACATGTGTATATATATATATATATATACACACACACACACACACAGACACACACACATTAACCCACATGCACACACACACTCACACAGACACATACATCACACATACATGCACACATATACACATACGCACAGAGACACACAAATCAGGTACACACACATACCACACACAGACACAAAACACACACACACACACACACACACACACACACACGGCCTCAGTTTCCATATCTGCCTAATGGAGAATATACTGTAAGGGCTGGCAACATGGCTCAGTTAATACAGTACCTGCTTAGCAGGAACAGGCGCTGGGTTTGATTCCCAGCACTAAAGAAGCCATGTTTGGTAGCCCATACTTGCAATCCCAGCACTTGGGAGCTGAAAGGCAGGAGGCATAAAGAGGGGGGCCAATGTGGGCTACATAAGTCCCGTCTAAATGAAAAGGGTAGTCTAAGAGTTTGGAGCGAGGTCATGCTCACCTAAGGAAGGTTCCCGCACTCCCGGGAGGAGGAGGAGAACCCTAGAGAGACTGGAAGAGTGTGGGGTATCGAATGAGTACAGAAACCCTTCAATGGGCACAAGCTCTCTACGACTATCCCATCATGTAATGAAAATGCATGCTTCCAGCATTCTAGTCAGTGAGTTAGCAAAAAATGCTCTTCTCTGCCCGGAGCCAGTAGTAAATCTGGGGTCCTCAGATGTATTGATTTGTCTCCTACCCGGGACAGCCCTCCAGACCTCAGCACAACTGATTCCATGATGGGAGGACACATTCGGGCTATTAAACTCAGCACACAGGCAGTACCACCTGCTAAAACGAAAACAAAGACCTGATCCAGAATCCTGGGGAAGTCTCTAAATGTTTTAAGCTTGCTTTCTGGCTTCTGTAGTTCTGCTTCTGGCTAACTGTTCTTGCTAACTGAGGTGTGTCAACCCAGCAAATGGTTTTTGTCCTGAGAAAGACTCGGTGCTACACCCAGTGCAGTTGCCAGCTGGCCAATAAAAACTTCTACCTCTATTGGCTTAAACCTGTGTCGGCGCCATCTTGTCTTGGGGATACCCCCACAAAACCAACCACCACCACCCCCGTTGATTCTCTTTTTAAACGATTATTATTATTTTATTGTTACCTACCTTTATGTCTGTATACACGTGCCCATGTGTGCTGGTGCCCGAGGCTGGAAGAGGGTACGAGATTTCCTCCATGTTGGTGAGCCACTCAGTGTGAGTGGCGGGAACTGAACCAGGGTCCTCTGGGAAAGCAGCAAGCCCTCTTACATCCCAAACCATCTCTCTTCACTGCCACCCATCCTTGATTCTAATGTGCAACTCGAGTTGTAACCATCACCCCAGAACTCTAAAAGGTGGGCGTGGGAGGAGAAGGAAGCAGTGTTGGTTTTGTTGTTGTTTTTCGAGACAGGGTTGGCTGTCCTGGACTCGCTTTGTAGGCCAGGCTGGCCTCAATCTCACAGCCATCCTCCTGCCTCTGCCTCCCAGAGTGCTGGGATTACAGGCATGGGGTACAGCGCCTGGCTGGGATCCTCCCTTTTAAGGAGCTCTCTGGGGCCAGGCATGGTGGCATACACCTGAATTCCAAGCATTTAGGGGGCAAGAGGAACTGGAGCTCAAAGCCACCCTGAGCTACACTGAGCAACCCTGTCTCAAAACAAAACAAAACAAAAAACAAAACCACCACCAAGTTCCCAGGGGACTCCCAGGCTGCAGCTCCGACTGCTCTTGCGTAGCTGCATGGAAACAAGAATGATGAGAAGTTTGGCTCTTCAGGCCAACTGAGACCTCACAATAACTTGCTTCTAAGAGGCTTGTCTATAAAATGAGGCAAGAGGGCTGAGGGTAGCTGGGTGGTTTTCAAAGCCTGCTGTGCATGGACATGCAACACACACACACGGGAAGCAATAGTTAAAACTACGTCATAGAAGTCCGGGGATTCTCACACATGAAGTAATACATTAAGCACGTTTCCAACGGTGCAACAAAATGCTAGCGTTTTGTCTGGACAGGCGACATTTTGCAGAATGAATAATCAGCCAGGGATTTTTTTTTTTTTCTAACAAGAAAATTATTTCACCATCCACATTTTGTAGAAGAAACTGGGGGCCCAGAGGTGGTTCCTAAATCGCTAATCCGGAACGGAACCGAGAATGTGTGTTCCTTGGGGTTGTCGGGACCACCGCAAGCCAGCCTTCCTCCCCTGCAGGCCTCGAAGGCTGCGACGAGACTCTCAGAGGATCGGCAGGTGGCAGCCTGGGACGACCGAGGCTTCCAAAACTACCTCTCAACGCCACGCCCAGGGCCAGCGCAGACGGCGACACTTCCGACAGCTTCTACTCCAGGCTGTGCTGGGCTCCCGGGGTTCCCTCGTGGGAGGCCTCCGGAAGCGGCCAGAGACTAAACAGCCCTTTCCTTTAAGTTCATGTAGGACTTCACCAAATAAGACTTTGTCCGCAGGGAGGGCCCCGAGAAAAGCAAGCTTTGACCAGGGACGCCGAACTATCACCCATACAGTTCAGCACGGGACGGGGAGAGAAAGTCGGGCATCTGCCTTGGATCACCTCCCCCCACCCTGCGCGTTTTGGGGTACCCGGGCCTCAGGGCACACGCCCTGGCCCCCCGAGAAGACTCTGACCTCGGAAGGATGTGAGGGATCATCCAGCGATGTCCTCCGGGAGTTGGGGGACAACTGAATTTAGGGGCAGGGTGGGGGGTGGGGGCTAACCCGGGCGGTTTCCATGGTGCCCGGGACGTCGGGGAGGAATGCACCCCAAGCTATGGCGAAACAAGCGCCGTGCCCCGGCTCAGGAGGACAGGGGAGCCTGGGTGGGAGGGGTTGCGGGGCGTGGGTAGCCGGGCAGGCCGGGGGGGCGGGGCGGTCACGTGCGCCCGAGGGGGCGAGGCCCCAGCCTGCCCGGGAGCGAACCTAGCCGGCCCGGCCGCAGTTCAGGGAGCAGCCGTTTTCCAGGACGGTCAGCGCTTCATCCGAACAGCCTGAGAGCGCGGGGCGAGGCGACTGCGGCCGACCTGGGGACAACAGTTTCCGAGGGAGGGAGCAAGGGTTCCCAGGGACCAGTGAGAGGAGTCTGGGAGTGAGCGCAGGAAGACCTCTCAGCATCTGAGGTCTCTTTCTCTGCGAACAGAGGCGCGCTCCAGGACAAGTGTTCCCTCGCCCAGTTCTAGGGGGACGGCCGTAAGACTGTAGGAGTCAGCACGTGCCCGGGGAGCTCGCTGTGGTCATGGTGAATGAAAGTCTCAACCAGGAGGAGAGCAATGACAGTCCCAGGCAAGAGTCTGCATTCCAGACGGACACCAGCTACTCCAACCCTCCCAGCGACCCAGGCCATCTCAGTGTTGCCATCCATCCTAGCGTCTCGGGCCATCCCAGCGTCTCCATCCATCCTAGCGTCTCGGGCCATCCCAGCGTCTCCATCCATCCTAGCGTCTCGGGCCATCCCAGCGTCTCCATC